TTGTCATAAATGTCTGCTATTTTCACTCCCTTATTAGTCCTCATTGTGCTTCCCTGTCTTATATATATATATATATATATATATATATATATATATCAAGGATCAATATCACTTTTATATGGTGGGATCAAGAGCTACTGTTGCTGTGTTTTGGGGTTTTTTTGTGCTACTTCCAAGATGGCTTCTTACTTCTCTCTCCTGTGGGCACTGTAACCCTGAGACTATGAGGAAATGAAAGCCCCTGAATAAAGAGACCAATAGCATGTATCATGAGCAGCTGGTTTTGCTGCCTAAATAGCAACTTAATGGGGGGCACCTGAACTACTGAATGTAATGTATTTCAAGAATCTGTGGTCATTTCACTACAATGTCTTTCCTATCATCATATAATGTTTTATATTTAACCCCTATATACATTACATATATTAATATAAAAATACACTTAGAGTAAAATTACACACGTATATATAAATAATGTAAATAATAACTATATATATATATATATATATATATATATAAAATAAAAAGAAAATAAATTAATTTTTTAAAATATATATTTATATATATATATATATATATATATATATGTGTGTGTGTAATTTCATTCTAACTGTATGTTGGTATGAATATATATATATGTATATATAGTCATATTAAAATACACTTAGAATGAAATTATATATATAACTATATATAGATAAATACAAAAAAATAATAAAAAATATAAATATATCCGTATACATAATAACATAAATAACTTCATAAATATACATGTGGACTTCAAATATATATAAAAAATATGTATATATATTTAAACTCTGCGTGCATATTTATGTAATATTTTTACATAATTAAGCTATTTTTTTTATTACAGTTTGAGGGACCTGCATGACAACCCAGGCAGAAAGTCCAGAAAATTAAATTTGCTAGCACTATATTTAACCCTGTAACTTTCCAAGACACCCTAAAACCTGTACATGGGGGGTACTATTTCACTCAGGAGACTTCACTGAATTCAAATATTATTGCTTCAAACAGTAAAATGTATCACAATGATGATATAATCAGTGAAAGTTAAGTTTTTTGCATTTTTTACACACAAACGGTACTTATACGGACAATATAATTGCTGTGCTATGTTTTATGGTTTTTAAACACTAATTTTTGTGTTCATCGAAGTCTCCTGAGTATAACAGTACCCCTCATGTACAGGTTTTATGGTGTTTTCAAAAGTTACAGAGTCAAATATAAGGCTTGTGTTTCAGTTTTTTCACATTGAAATTAGTCAGATTGGTTACGTTGCCTTTGAGACCATATGGTAGCCCAAGAATGAGAATTACCCCCTTGATGGCATACAATTTGCAAAAGTAGACAACCCAAGGTATTGCAAGTGGGTTATGTCCAGTCTTTTTTAGTAGCCACTTAGTCGCAAACACTAGCCAAAATTGGAGTTCAAATTCGTTTTTTGCATTTTTCACACACAAATATTAATGCTAACTTTGGCCAGTGTTTGTGACTAAGTAGCTATTAAAAAAGATTGGACATACCCTATTTGCAATACCTTTGCTTGTCTACTATTGCAAATGGTAAGCCATCATGGGGGTAATTCTTATTCTTGGGCTACCATATGGTCTCAAAGGCAACATAACCAGTCTGGCAAATTTAAAAAAAACAGAAAAATTTAAAATGCTATATTTGGCCCTGTAACTACCCAAAACACTGTATAACCTATACATAGTTTTGAACCATACTGTTTTACGCAAGAGACATCTCTGAATACCAATATGTGTATTTTATTGCAGTAAAAGCAAACAGTATTATGACATTCACGGTTGAAATGTCATGCAGAACTAAAAAAAAAAAATTTCTTAATTTCTCACATTTGTTTTATATTTTATTCCTATTAACATATATTTTATATCTACATATTTGAATTTAAATGAAAGCCCTATTTCTCCTGAATAAAATTATATATAATAAGTATGAGTGCACTTGATATGAAAGAGGTAAATTACAGTTGAAAAGACATATAGTCAAATTCCAAGTTTTGTTTACGTTTTATTTTGATCAAAACGTGTACATTTAGCTCAGGAGTTAAAATACAGCCAAACTGACATATAGACAAAATGTGGGCATTTTTTTCCCCCAAAATGTTACATTTTTGTTCTATTGTTCTTTTGTTCTATTTTCTCAAACACATGTTGAGTGCTCAATGCAAATGTATATTTAGGAGTGATGCAGTAGGGATTTAGTTGTATTTTATCAAACACTATCATGGAAGAATACTTGGCACTTGGTAATTAATGGTAATTATTTGATATGTTAGATGTTTTAAGACATTATGTGCCAATCTAAATAGTTACATAGGCTGTAAAGAGACATGTGTTCAGCTGTTCTCACATCTGTTTTTGCTGTTGATCCAAAAGAATCATCTAAAACTTGGAGTCTCATAACCTTGAATAACTAGACTTGTTATTTTAGACAAGCATTTTCGTAATAAATTGGAAGCTATTTTTCTAACGCTACGTGACTTTAAACAAGCCAAGAAATAAATGTCAGTGCCATTAGATATCTTTCCAAGTGACTTGCTTTTAATGAATATCAAACCTGTAAATTATTTTGTTTTGTCAATTATTTCATTGGGCGTTACGTAGTTTGATAACTTGGAGAGTACTTAAATACATAGGTATATTTGGCTTGGCTTTAGCCATTCTAAAGAGGACATGACATTAATTGATTTATTAATTGATTGCCTAGTGATGCATATCAGCCTGCAATGTTTCATTGTTTTCCTGACATATCCCACTGGCCATTTATGCTTTCAATTCTAGCCTACATGCCTTACCTTTAGAAACATATGCAAGTGTACATTTAATTTCACTACTAGTTCATATTGACATTTTAAGTGTTTAAGGATGTTTATCTGCATCTGAGTTTAACACCATCATATTCTTATTATCAGAGCCAATCCTCTTGCTCACTGACCATTAACCCTTACTCTATTTTAAATTGTTCCTCCGCTTAATCTTGAAAATAAATTTACTTTATGTTCTCTTCAGACAAAAAATTATTGCAATTAATATACTTTAGTAATACAAAGGATAGAGGATAGTGCATAGTATTAATGAAATGGAACTGTCTATTTGAAAATGTTCCTAATATTGACCTATATTCAGATAATTTGCAAGTACTAAGTTACCAGCAGGGAGTGCTTAAAAATGAATATGTTAAGAAATGCGGTGTCATACTATGCATAGTGGGCACGGCATGCAAAAAGGCTGAGGGCGGCAGGGAAAAAACTTTGAAGTTAAATATTCATCTATCTTCCCATATCTCATGGGGAACTTGGCATGGTTAATAATAATGTACATACAGCCATGTGGAGCCACCATAATCCATACACCCATTCTGTGACATGTGTAGTAAAATGTGTATTGGTCTCTAAAGCCTTCCAACCTTGAGGATAGACATCTCGCTCACCATAGATGAAGAACAGGAAGATTTAACAGCATTCTTTATAGAGCAGAGGCTTGGAAGTTTTCCCTTTTCTTTCCTTAATTCTGTCTGCTGTGAGATGGGATCATGTTCTCAAATAGTCCAAAGCTATAATAGTCCCCTGCAATGCTTTCCAATTTTGTTAAATATCTAAAAATAAAAAAATGAGTTGTTTATATTTTATACTATATTAATAAGGCATTGTCATCTAAAGACCATGAATACTCATCCCTTGCTATCTAAATTTCATTTCTTTAAAACAAGAAATAATAAAAATAATGTGTGAAGCAATAAATAGAGTAAAATGAAAAATCAAGAATATAAATAAGTTTATCTATATAGAAGTTTTAGGCTAAAAATACATTAACTGTTTTTTTTTGTTTTTTTTATAAAAAGCACTTGATGCTGATTGGCTGCTCCAAGACAGCTGCCTAGGAACATTCCTTAATTGCCAGTCAGCATTATGAAGGCTGTCAAGGTCATCGTAAGATGCTCTGAGTGTTTTGAAGACCATCCATTTTTTTCCATATTCAAGTATTAATACAGTATGGCTAGTGTGAATCAGTTTAATGGATAGATATCTACACTTCCTCCATTGATTTATTTTTATAAAACCCCTTTTTTAAATCGGTAAAGCTATATTTGGAGAAAATAATATATATATATATATATATATATATATATATAATGCGGAAGAAAGCGGTTTTATGTTGTGTTTCAAATTGAATTAGTTATAGAAAATAAGTACTGACATTTTGCAGCTTTATTTTAATTGCAGTCAGTATTGATTCCCAGTTCATTAGAATAATCTAGGTTCTCAAGAGTCACTATCACATTTTTAGCCAAAGGAAATTTAATAATGAAGCTCATTTTTTTCTGCATTTTAGGATGATTGGCAGCCATGATTGTATGTAATGAAAGACATTGCATAGAGTGAGGATACTGTTAAAAATACACTTTAACTCTCAGCTAAGAGCACTTCTACTTACAGTGCTACAAAGAAACCTTCCAATGTGCTGGAAGAAAGATAATGCATATGATTCACCGAATTCTACTTGGTTTGATTCTGCTCTTGTATTTAGATAGCAATGAACTGCAATACTTTATAATATGTTCATTTAATTGTAATTTTGCTAATTTTATGTTAAATGAAATGGAGATAAAAGAGCAAGAGGGGGTAGAGATAAAAAGGTTAATTTAATGGAAATTTCTTAACCTAAATTATTTCTCTTTCATTTGGTAGATAATGGACTTTTCATAGTTCAGAAAAATAATTCCCTTTGTGTGGATTAGTCAACTGATTTAAAATTATATATTTTCTCTACCAAGAGCAATGAAAATATCATTACCACTGTCACATTTTTTTCGGCAATGTGAATATTTAGATTTTTTTAATCATTATTAGTTATTACTAGTGATGTCCCGAATTGTTCGCCGAACGGTTCACGAACGGTTCGCCATGGACTCATCATTGAGTAAACTTTAACCCTGTACCTCACAGTCAGCAGACACATTCCAGCCAATCAGCAGCAGACCCTCCCTCCCAGACCCTCCCACCTCCTGCACAGCTCACTAAGAATGCAGCTTCACAATGGATGCTGTCCAGGAGGCGGGAGGGCCTGGGAGGGAGGGCCTGCTGCTGATTGGCTGGAATGTGTCTACTGACTGTGAGGTAAGGGTCAAAGTTTACTCAATGACGAGTCTGTGGCGAACCGTTCGTGGCGAACCGTTTGCGAACCGTTCGGCGAACAGTTCGGGACATCACTAGTTATTACTGAATACACAAAAAAATAATATAAATCAAAACAGCAGGTAATACACTGGGTCTAAATTCTATAGATGTCTACATGTTTGCTGCTGGGAAAGCATATGAAAAGGTATAAAATGGGTCTAGTGACAAAGAAACTGAATATATGTGAAATGCGTCTGGAAGGACTATGTTTTATTTACACCCCCTTTCTCCCTTACAGTTTCAGTGACCACTGTCTAGTATACTGCATACGCAAAATAGAGCCACTAAATCCCCTCTCAAGATTATAATCACCAGATCATTCAAGAAATGTAATATTGAATCCTTTTTAAACAATCTCAAGAACATACTCTGGCAAAGATTAAGCCTAATCCCAGATCTGGACTCTGCAATAGTATTTTTTCAATTACTTTGTTGGATGTGCTACCACACTGGTTGCTAGGATAACGAATCAAACCACAAATAAAGAATAGGCCCGGCCAAATCTTCAAAATCCTCTTATAGAGAAATTCAGTTTTAGACCTGTGCCTTCTAGTGTTGTTAATAAACATCTTAATAATTTAAAAATGAAAAACCAGTGTGGACCAGGTCAAATCCCAGCAATGTTGCTGAAGCTCAGTGCGTAAGCAATTGCTAAACCTGTCACTACCCTTATCAATGAATCCCTGGTGGCAGGATACATACCCAAACTTTGGAAGACTTCAAAAGTAGTACCTATCCATAAAAGTTGTGACAATACTTTGGTATCTATCACCCGATATCATTGTTCCCGGTATTGTAAAAAAGTTGGAAAAATGCGTCCAAACGCAACTATGTGAATATTATCAACAATTAAATTATATGACCCATAATCAATCAGGCTTTTATCCAAAATCTCGCAACTTCGACTGCCCTCTTAAAAGTTTGCAATGACATCCAAATTGGCATGGAACAAGGAGACTTTACTGGAACTATTTTCCTTGATTTTGCCAAGGCCTTTGACACAGTAGACCATAAAATTATTTTGCAAAAACTAAAAAAAAACTCAGGCATTGGTGATCGTCCGCTAACCTGGTTTCGGTCATATGTTTCTGACGGATTGCAATATGTGGCCTTTTCTGGTAGCGCCTCCCTCTTCCAGTCATATGTGGTGTTCCCCAAGGCTCCATACTCGGCCCCCTGCTAAATGATCTAACTAATGTCTGTAAATCCTCAACTGTACACATGTATGCAGACAACACTGTAATCTATGATAGTAAACCCAATCTAGTGCAGCTTTAGGCTGTGCTCCAAAACCAATTGAAAGAGGTAGATAGCGGTTAACAAACTCTTCCTAAACACTGACCAAACAGTTACAATGATCTTTGGAACTGTACTTAAATTACGTAAACTACAAAATCAACAACTATATATCAGAACAAATTCAAATAGCACACTGACAGCAGTCTGTTATTTCAAATATTTAGCTATGTTGCTAGACCCCAATCTATAATTTGGCCTTAACATTGGAAAAATCTCTTCAAAACTTTACCCAAAACTAAGTGCCCAGTACAGAAACAAATCCTGCCTAATCCCTACAGTAAGGAAATAGTGCAACAAATGCTAATGCTGGTTATTGATTATGGGGATGTAGTATATGCCCCTGCATCGCACTCCCACCTTAATAAACTCAATGCGTTATATAATTCATTCTGCTGCTTTGTACTAGAATGTAATTACTTTATCAACCATTGTGACATGTTAAAAGAGGTAAGCTGTCTGTCGCTGGAATCCCAACATACTCTTCATCTTTCCAGCTTTGTGCATAAGAGCTTTTCTATGAAGCTCCCACCCTACCTGAGTAGAATGCCCTCCTCAGCTGTTCCCACCTCCTATACCCTCCGATCCAGTACTAGCACGATATTTAGCATACTGCAATACAAAAATAAAGTGGCTCAATCATGATTTTCCTACAGAGCACCACAAATATGGAATAACCTCAGGGACACATTCAAATCTTCATTCAATCTAAAATATTTTAACAGATCTATGGCAATATACCTCAGCACATAATGCACCTATCATGGTTGAATATATTTATCACCTGTTATGTTTTAAATTTATATATATGTGTGTGTATGTGTGTATATATATATATATAAATACATAAATTTGACGGAATGTCTAGTAATGGTAAGACGGATATATTTTTACCTTGCTTTTATTGTCATGTGTTTTACTGCTTCCGTGTATAAATGAAGCCAATTATATTTTTTCTTTGCAAGAACCCTCATGAATTTGGATTATCTGATGTGCACAGCATCTTTCATTTATCTTAATATGTTTATTTGAAATTAAGCAACAATGTGGTGTTCAACTTTGAACTTTGTCCACAATTATTTGAAAGTTTTATTCTTGTATTTACACATTTAGGATTTGTTTTGTTGATAAGTTTGTATGTATTACTTTGTAAGTTTGCTTTTATAAGCATGTGCTAGAAGTATTTTTAAAAAGGATGAGTTTTTATAAAAATAGCCCGAAGAGAGCAATTTTTTTAAAAATTGCTCTTGCTGTGTTCAAAAAACATAAACGTTGAACATGTGAAAACACACCACAAGTTCTCATCAAATCTTGCAAATGCTTTATTATTCTCAATAGTCCTAGTTGCAATACACAAAACTCAATACTTATTGCTCTAACCTCAAATTTCTAGGTAGGCTTTTTGGTAAACTAATTTTGGGATGTCTATTATATTATTGCAACATACTATAAATCTCTAACAAATGCCCCATAAACTAGAGACTTTGCAAAAAAGTGAAAATTCAGATATATGTAAATACTTGTTATGTTATAGGCATTTATTGATTAATGTCTTTAAAATAAAAATTGTCTTTTTAGAAATCAATATAGGACCCTACCACCATAAACTTGCAGCATCATTTTGGGTACAATTTTTTAAGATAAACAAAATCAAAGTGGAAATACAGTGTTTTTTTAAATTAAATGTAATAGTTTAGAAAATAAGAAAAGCTAGAAATATTATTTTTAAAAAGAGAGAACTATAAAAAGCTGTTACATTTTATAAGGTGGTAGTCTTTGATGTCCAGCAATGTCTTTTATTAACAATGAAAATATAGTTTTCACCTATAGCAGTGCCAAGTGGTCTACACATTAACAATCATAATCACATGATATGTATTGTTCTATAGATATAGCTAATAATGGATGACATGCTGATGATAAAATTAGATAATTTTTTTTGCAAACCAGACCAAGAAGGCCCATAACAGTTAGTTTGAGCATCAGTAACTATTTCCTATTGTTCTATACTGTTTTAACTTTTTTTTAAGTTTCTATACATACTGTTATTATATTTTTATATGATATATGTTTTAAAATGAAATAGAAAATTAATTTATATATTATTTCTTACTACATTTTCTTAGTTGTTGGCCATAACTATTATAAGGAAACATTTTACATTGATATTTCTGCATCTATTTAGATAGCAGGTCCATATTATCTTATTTACATCTGTAATATTCATTCAACTCAGCTAATTAATAGTTATATCACTATATCATATTGGGATATTTTTAAACAATCGTAATACAATAAGGTATGACCTACCAATAGCCATAAAAATTATAGTTTACCTTCCAAAAAGTCAAATACATATCATCTCCTTTCACACCATTATCCAATTTATTCAATGTATACTCTTTACCATATCATAGCATTTCAAGATCTCTTCCATCCTCATATTTCTTTACCTCTTCACCACCTTTTATATAGCTAATCTTTCTCAAACTTGTCTAACACTGGTATCACTAGTACAGACCTTTTATGTTTTCATTATTCCTAAAGTTTTGTTTAACAATTGACCCACTTCACCTATCCCTTTTGCAGTGGGTATATTACAACACCTACTTTTTGGATAACTTCTCTTCTATCTTTGTACAGATCCTCTGTCTGACCTCAGATCTTCGTTGCAGGTCATCCAAATATTCTTACCCTGCACACCTGACATCTCATCCAACATTCCTTCCTGATTCCTGTACATATCCAATTAAATGTCATCTACGTCTCCTAAAACAGAAGTGCTCTTCTTCCATGCATGTCAATCACCTTAATTTCTCTATTATTCTCTTCCCTGCTCCTATTATGCATCCCAGTCACAAATCAGGTGTTCTCCTCAACAGTCTGCTGCTATCTGATAGATGTTTAATCTTTGTTTCTTCTTCTGTTTCGAATTGCCGAATTTACGAATTGCCGAAGTGCCAAATTTCGTAAGTGCAGAACTGAACCGAATTACTGAATTGCCGAATTACCAAAGTGCCAAACCAAATTTCCAAAGTGGTGCTTTGGATTTCTGAAAAGTGGCAAAACAAGAGGGGGAGAGAAAATGATATGAATGATGACAAGAATCTAGACCACTAACTCTACTCCCTGGCACTGGGAGCCCTATAGATGTTTAAGTGGTTATGGTGGCAGTCCAGACACCTAACTCTACACCTAAACCTACCCCTAACCCTAACCCTAACCCTACCCTTAACTCTAACCCTACCCCTACTTCTACACCTAACCCTACTCCTAACTCTAGATGTATAAATGGTTGTGGTAGTTAAGGGTAGGGTTAGGGGTAGGTTTAGGGGTATGATTAGGGGTAGGGTTAGGGTTAGGGTTAGGGAACCAAATTATTTGCCCATGCACATCCCTACAAATTAATGCAAAATCAATAACGAAAAATTTGTCGTCAGACTACTGCAATATCCTTCTAATTGACGTGTTGAAATACTCCACCATTCCTCTCAATTTAAATTCCAAATATTCTACTTGCTTCTGATTCACCAGCACTTCATGTTTAAATAGTTAACCCCATATACAAATCCCTCAATAATCTTGCTCCACCCTAACTCATCTGCTACTCCCATATCTGTTATTTCCAATCCCC